ATAAGCTAATCTCAAAGGTCTAAAAATGATTTTTTTTTTACTTTTTTACCCTACAACACTATGTGTTGTGTGTATTATTATTGGGCCAAAAGTTATGTAACACCTCGAAATATTGGGTTCCCACATAGGAAAGCATATATGGGTTTTCCTATCTCGCCGAGATGAGTCGATCTACCTATGTATGTCCGTCCGTCCGTCCGTCCGTCTGTCCGTGTTAATTTGTAATCAAGCTACAGGTCGCAATTATGAACCGATCCTCACGAAATTTAAAATGGAGGTGGGGTTATGGTCAGAATAGATCCCTATTGTTTTTGGAGATGATCGCTCGATATTTAGGGGTTGAAATGGACCAAAAACAGAAAAATTTTGCAGTTGCTCTATAGGTCACAATTATCAACCAATCGCCGCGAAAATTTACATGGAGTTAAAGTTTAGGAGTGGGCAGAATCCTACCAATTTGGCCGGCCACCGGACAATAATTAGCGGGTAAAATAGACCCTGACTTTTATGTAAGAAAATGGGAAAATTTCCACTAAACCGCGAATATTTTCAACCCCAGCCAAATCACTAATACATTAAAAGATCACTTCTGACCATTACAGTGATGCTAGTAGCCAAGAAATCGGGTATATAGCAAAATAGGTACAATATATATATAAAAGAATTGATATTATTTATCCTGCTTATAAATCAAAAACCGCTGAGCCGATTTTCACAATTCCCCTCAATTCGGAATGGTCTTTTGCCAGAAAAGCAGAAAATCTAAGAAAATCGCGGAAAAATATACCAATAAAAAAGTGAATATTTTTTGTTCCATTTTTTCAATTCTTATCATATTTTCTATCGCATGCGATTTTTTCAATTTGACTTACAATTTTGAATTGTCAATTTTCTAAATGTTTACACCCTTCAACACTACGTTTTGAGGGTATTATATGCATGCCGCAATTATCGTCCGATCCTCACGAAATTTGGCATGGAGGTAGGGTTAGGGTCAGAATTAAAGCCTATTGTTCTTAAGATGTACATTTAGAGGTGCAAATGGACAAAAAAAATATTTTTTTCTTATTTTGTAGTCGCTCTATAATCGAATCGAATAATCTAATCGACACGGAATTTCGCATCGGAAGATAAGGGCAGGAAAGAAGTCTAGCATTTTGGATGACCATTGGATTGCATTTAGCTGTAAAATGGACCACAAATTTGCCAAATTCTCCGGACCAAAAAACTAAGGGTAACCTCTGGGCGGGGCTCTTTGACATTATTTCAAAAATGAAATCTTCCAAACTGGATTTGGATATAAGGGGACTTTGAACATATTGCAGTGTTGTAGGGTATCACATGGTCGGCCCCGCACGACTATAGCCTTTGCTTACTTGTTTTACATATTTGTGATTTTTTGTGACCAGCGAATAACCACTGATTTCAAGTGATATTCTATCTAAAAGCGATGGGTTAATAGGTGGATTTGTAATTAGTTGCAACTGGCAAACATATATCAGGAAACACATAATTTGGAAGGATTATTTCTTTAGAAGTTTTTTATACCCTACACCTTGGAAAGGAGAGGGTATATTAATGTTGACATTCCGTTTGTAATATCCCCAAATATTCATCATAGACCCCATAAAGTATATACAGGGTGAGATGAAAAAACTGCAACCTACTTCAGACTGCTGTCACTTCTAAGCTACTCGTCCGACAGCTGTTAAAATTTTCCAGTGACAGCTCATTATATTGTTTACAATCGTACAAAAGCATTTTGGTGCGAATTGTCCAGAAAGAAGTTATTCGTGATGGAATTCAAGCGTGATAGTGTGATTTCTTTGTATTTGGCTGGAAAACCACAAGTGGCTATCGTTAGAGCACGCCAGCACTTAAATGTGAATAAATCGTCATACTGGTAGCGTAGCCCGACGTCAAGGAAGTGGACGGAAGAAAACAGCAACATCAGCAGAAATGATTTAAAAAGTAAAGAAGCGACTGATCGAAACCCGCGTCGCAGTGGCCGAAAAATGACTCGTGAGCCGAACATATCGTAATATTCCATTCGGCAAATATTGAGAAATGAGCTCGGGGTAAAGTCATTGAAATTCCAAAAAGTGCAAGAACTTACACCGCAACAGAACGAAAATAGACTCAAAAGAGCTAAAGAGTTGCTTTGCTTGGCCGAAAGTGGTGAACTGCCGTATTTGGTTTTCTCCGATAAGAAAATATACGTTGTCCCGCAGTTTGTAAACAAACAAAATGATCGTGTTTACTAGCCAAAGAGGTCAGCTGAAACTGTGCACTTTCGGTTGACCACCAGAACTCAAGCGCCGGCCATGGTGATGGTGTGGGCCGCCATAACAGCCGATGGTCGCTCCCCGCTCGTATTAATCGACCGTGGCGTCAGAATAAATGCCGAATATTATAGCGAAAAGATTCTGTTGGGTGTATTAAAGCCTTGGGCACGCAGACATTTTGGCCGCAGATTTTGGACATTCCAACTGGACTCAGCACGCGCCATCCAAGAATGGTTACAAAATGAGGTTCCTCGCTTCATTTCCAGCTCACAATGGCCACCAAAATCTCCGGATACCAATCCGTTGGACTATTATGCCTGGAGTATTTTGGAAAGCAAGGTTGGCACTAAAAATTACCACAGTGTCGATCACCTCAAACTAGCGCTTTGCCGGGAATGGGCCAAAATACCGTAGAGTAACTTTCGGGCAACATGTGACGGTTTCATTGGCCGTTTGAAGGCCATAATTCGTGTCAAAGGTGACCAATTCGAACAAATCTAGACTTATTCTAAAATTTAATGCTATTTCCGACATTTTTTTGCTCTCATTTAATAAAATTTAAAGAAAAAATGTAAAAATTATGGCTTTTGACTTTGTTGCAGTTATTTTTTATCTCACACTGTACATATCAAATAATCGACACTCTAAAGTTCAAAGGTCCAAATTTACCCACTCTTTCAATACCATTGTAGGCATCTAATTTTTATACCCTACACCACAAGATGGTCAGGGTATTATGTATTTGTGCATTTGTTTGTAACAGGCAAAAGGAAACGAGATAGACCCATATTTCCTTTTGATGATCTGCATAGAATCACATTCTGAGTCGATTTATGCATGTCCGCCCGTCCGTCCGTCTGTCCATGTATTTTTTTAAACAAAGTACAGGTCGCATTTATTGCCCGATCCAGAAGACATTTTGCACAGATCATTTGTTTGGCCCAAGGACGAACCCTATTAAAATTGGAGATAATCGGTCAAAATTTAGATATAGCTCCCATATATATCTTCGTCAGATTTGCCTTTTATTGTGCACCAAACATGTAATATCAGCCCGAATTGTATGGAATTGTATGCACATACAACCAAATCAGCCCTAAAAATAAGTATGCCAAATTCGATCGAAATCGGTTCAGATATAGCTATAGCTTCCATATATATTGTTCATCCGATTTGTTATTTTTGTCCTCCGCAGCCGTAATATGCACTCTGTAACAACAATATTTGGGGAAATATATCAAATGCAGCTCAGAAATACCTTTGCTAAATTTTATCGAGATCGGTTCAGATTTGGATATAGCTCCCATATATAACTTCGTCCGATTTACCTTTTATTGTGCACTAAACGTCTAATATTTGTCCAAATGGGATGGAATTTGGCACTTACGACCGAATTGAGTCTAGAAGCTAGTATGTCAAATTTGGTGAAGATCGGTTTAGATATAGTTATAGCTCCCATATATATTGTTCATCCGATTTGTAGTATTTGCTACCCACAACCGTAATATGCACTCCGTAACAACGATATTCAGGGAAATATATCAAATACAGCTCAGAAATATATTTGCCAAATTTTATCGAGATCGGTTCAGATTTGAATATAGCTTTATCAGATATTTTTATCCGATTTTAAATTATTTGTGCACCAAATGGGCAACACAAGTCCGAATTTAAAAGATACAAATGCTTCGGCATATTTATTCCTTTGAACTTTAAATTATAATTATAATCATAGCGTGTATGATAGAATTCTCCCATAAAAACTTTTAATTGTTATGTGGAGCTCTACTAAATTAGCAAAGGGTGTAGGGTATCATAAAGTCGGCCCCGCCCGACTTTAAGGCTTTCTTTACTGGTTAATAGAAACTTAAGGGTGGCTTTAGTTCGAACTTCTACAACCGCGACTTCTTCTCACTTCTACCCTTAAAATTTTTTCATTTTCCAAATAGAGGATTTTAGCTTTATTTGTTTAAGAAATTCATAGACCCCTTTAACATTTTTAGTACACACTTAGTTCAAATTTTTACAATCCTATCCAAACTTCTTACTTTAAGTTTTCTAAAAATTCTATGGTGCAGGATTTAGTACATTTAGTAGAATTTTAATTCGAATATCCAAAAACCCGTTCCCTAAATATCACAACATATCCTTTATTACCATGTAGTACTCTTAGTATGAATGTCCACCAGGCCGATCTATAAAATAAAGTTCTAAGGTCTTCTATGAAAGGTTTCTTGGTGGTATTCTATAGAAGAAATTTTGATTTTCTTGTGTTTGTGGAAGAAGACCTCTGAGGGACTTTTACCTGCCAAGACCATGGGAGTTCTTGTATTTTCAGAATATCTCATAACGGTCTTCTACATGAATGTCTTGAATATTTTCTTGTAATAACAAAACCTCTTGTAGGTCTTTTAGATGTAGAAGAATTATTTTTGGGTTTTTTTATCTGAGGAAGACTCTTTTGTATGGATTTTCTATAATATTTCTAACTGTAGGAGGCTTCTGATTATTTTCGATTGTCCTCTTGAATAGCTTCTATATAAAGAAACCTTTTAATTTCAATCTATAGAAAAACTTTATGAAATATCTTCTAATAGACTTCTTTAAAAAAAAAAGATTTATTGAATGCTTTCTATGCATGTCTTCCATTTATTGAATAACTCTTGAAGGCCTCCTATCTTCAATAATTGTATCTTTGTTTTCCTTTATTTTCAGTGTACCTTCGACATCGACACAACACAAATATTTACGATTAATGCTAATTTGATTTTCAACATTTCGCAAAGCGTTAATGTGCAACATGAAAGGCAACCACAAAATGTTAGCCAGCACAAAAAAGACTTATTGGGACCAGACAGTTAAATGCCCCGGCGTATCGGACTAAATCCACCAACATACAGTAGAACTACAGCTAAGGCAAAAGCAGCGTGAAAAATTGGCTAAGTTGGCGGAACTTCGTTTGCTTGCCTCTTTGGCATGCATAAACGCACATTGAATGAGACCATTTTGGAAACGGTTATTGCATGTTTATCCTGGCGAGGGAAAATAATCCTTAACTTTTTTCTGCTGCCCACATGTGACAATTTAAATGTCGTCCGAGGAAGATCAACGATGAATGTTTGTTTTGTTATGCTGTTGATAAGAATATTATAAGTGTGGTTGGGAAGCTGTACGGAAAAAGAGACATGTTGTTGATGGTACAAACAAAGGTAAGAACAATTTTATATTTAAAGAATATAATAAATTGTGTTCATATAAATACAGAAGAGCCTCCGATACGTAATAGGAATCAATAGAACTTGATGTACAAGTCTTAAGGAATAAGGAGTTAGTCCCAAAATTTTATTATATTTTTCTAATCATTGCTATAGATGGAAAATTGAAGTAGATTCGATTTAAATTTGCCTCATCGAAATATTGGTTTAAGACACTATGTCTCTTTGGACCAAATGCGCTTTAGGTTATTTGTGGTCCATATAATTACGTCCGATCCTCCGTCTATCTCTCTGACTAAAAGATGAAAAATGTGATTTCCAAACGCATTATTTTAACTTAAATATTCATCGCATTCAAAGCTTAGAGGGAATCCAAATCGGTAAAAACTTCGCACATTGTAATATAAATATTGGAGGTATAGCAAGCAACTCCTTCTGGTACCTTGCCCAAAAAAGGTTAATATTTAAATGCCAAAAACTGCTACATTATTTCCAATTTTTTTTAAACAACGTTTGAAAATTGGCGGCATTGGTTTTTGGCTACATCAGTATTGGTGTCTGTGGAAACCTGGCCCTGTCTAGTATATGGAATAAGTCTTCACTGGATAAGATTGTATTTAACCACAAGGGGTCCTTGATATGAGATGATACTAGTTCGAGAGATCTTAAGCAACGATCTAGGATATGCTAGTGACCTTAATAAGTATTTTAGCAAAGCTTTACAAGGATATACAAGGATACTACTACATGATACGTTAATAAGGACCTGTAAGATACTACTTCAAGTTACCTTAAAAAGTACTCCATTAAGGCTTTACAAAGATATATAAGGATATTACCGCAAGACACCTTTAAGAGTACTCCAGCAATATTTTTCAAGGATACATCGGGAATATACTTTAATAACAACTTGTGGGGATACTACTACATGAGACTGTTGTACGTACCCAAGCAAGGCTTCTAAAGGATATATACGTATATTACTGCAAAAGACTTCAATTAGTGTTCAAGTAAGGATTTATCAGGATTCTACCTCAAGAGACATTACTAACTACTTCAACAAGGCTCCACAGCGATACTACTGGAAGAGACCTTAATAAGTGCTCCAGCAAGACGCTACAATCATTTACAAGGATACTACAGCAAGAGACCTGAATAAACACTCTAGGAAGCTTCCAAAAGATTATCAGGGGTATTACTGCAAGTTACCTTACAAAGTACTCCAGCAAGACTTCACAAGTACAAGAGACCATTGTACGCGCTCAAGCAAGGTTTACCAAGTATATACACAGATACTCCTGCTAGATACCTTAATAGGTGATCAAGCAAGGATCTACAACAATATGTTAGGTACTACTGCAAGAAGAAGTACGCCAAGGCTCGATAAGGATATGCATACCTCAATAAGTACCAAGCAAACATCTACAGGGATATGCAAGAATACTGTTGAGAACTAAAGCAAGGCTATATGTATGGGTTTTTATGGAACAATGAGACATATACCTGACTAAATACCATTTACAGAATGTCGAAGGTTAGTTAAAGTTAGTCACTTACCGAAGTTGCAATACCTTTAGCAATTACAGGGTGAGATGAAAAAACTGCAACCAGTTTCAGACTGCTGCCATTTCTAAGCCACTCGTTTGACAGCTGTTAAAAATATTCCAGTGCTAGCTAATTATATTGTTTACAAGCGTACAAAAGCTTTTTTGTGAGAATTGTCCAGAAAAAAAGGTTATTCGTGATGGAATTAAAATGTGACAGTGAGATTTCTTTATATTTGGCTGAAAACCAAAAGTGGTTATCGATAGAGCACTTCAGCATTTAAATGTTAATAAATCTTTTGTGTCTCGTACCATCGCTCGTTACCAAGATACTGGTAGCGTATATCGACGTCAAGAAAGTGGATCGAAGAAAACAGCAACCTCAGCAAAAATGGTTCGAAATGTAAAGACGCGACTTGATCGAAACCCGTGTCGCAGTGGCTGAAAAATGGCTAGTGAGCTGAACATATCGCAATATTCCATTCGCAAATATTGAAAAATGAGCTCGGGGTAAAGCCATTGAAATTCCAAAAAGTGCAAGAACTTACACCGCAACGGAAAGAAAATAGACTCAAAAGAGCTAAAGAGTTGCTTCGCTTGGCCGAAAGTTGTGAACTGCGGAATTTGGTTTTCTCCGATAAGATGATCGTGTTTACTTGCCCAAGAGGTCAGCTGAAAATGTGCGGTTGGCCACCAGAATTCAAGCGCCGGCCATGGTGATGGTGTGGGCTACCAAAACAGCCGTTGGTCGCTCTTCGCTCGTATTAATAGACCGTGGCATCAGAATAAATGCCGAATATTATCGCGAAAATATTCTGGAGGGTGTATTAAAGCTTTCGGCACATAAACATTTTGGCCGCCATCATTGGACATTCCAACAGGACTCAGCCCCATCGCATTCAGCACGCGCCACCCAAGAATTTTTACAATATGAGGTTCCTCGCTTCATTTTCAGCGCACAATGGCCACAAAAAAAACTTCCGGATAACAATTCGTTGGACTATTGTGCCTGGAGTATTATGGAAAGCAAGGTTGGCACTAAAAGATACCAAAGTGTCGATCACCTCAAGCATGCGCTTCGCCAGGAATAGGCCAAAATACCGCGGAGCAACATTCGGACAGCGTGTGACGGTTTCATTGGCCGTTCGAAGGCCATAATTCGTGCCAAAGGTAACAAATTCGAACAAATTTAAACTTATTCTAAAATTTGATCATATTTCCGACATTTTTTGCTTTCATACAATAAAATTACAAAAAAAAAAAAAAAAAAAAAAAGTAAAAAAGCAGTAACTTTGGCCGGGCCGAACTTTGAATACCCTCCACCATTTGGAACGAATTAGAAAATTTTCAAAAAATATAAAATCCATTAAAAATTCTTTTAAAATCTTTAAAATATCTAATATAGGAAGGTGCCGATATATCGGGGAATATACGATATTGTGGACCTATAAAAACAAAACTATGTCTAGGTGTAAAGTACTCACAAGGAACTCCTTGTGTGGATTCTCAGATAATTCCATTGGAAAAAGTGGCTAAAATCATCAAAATTCCGAATATAGGGGAGTACCGTTATATGGGGGGTATACGATATTGTGGACCTATATAGACAATTCCGTTTCAGGGGGTAAAGTGCTCACAAAGAACTCCTTGTGCGGATATTCAGACAATTCCGTTGAAAAATGTGGGTAAAATCATCAAAATACCGAATATCAGGGGTACCGTTATATGGGGGCTATAAGATGTCGTGGACCGATATAGCCCATCTTCGAACTTGACATGCCTGCAGACAAAAGAGAGATCTGTGCAAAATTTTAGCTTCCTATCTTAATTCGTTTAGACTGTAGCGTGATTACAACAGACGGACAGACGGGAGGACAGGGCTAAATCGTCTTAGAATTTTACGCTGATCAAGAATATATATACTTTGTTGGGTCTAAAATGATTATTTCGATGAGTTATAAACGGAATGACGAACTTAATTAACTTCTGGGTTTCTGCGATATATATATGTATATTTTAGTCGCACAGTGTAATTAATCGTTTAAACTATGATTTTCCAAATCGTATTCCATTAATTATTTTGATGTTGATCAAATCAAACGCTTACACCACATAATTATTAAAGCTGGCAAGAAAAATTCGCTTTCCAAAATTATGTTGTAATTGTTTCGAAACAAAACAAATGTTCACTTTAAGCTTCTTATTTCCAATTCATTAAATTTGAATTGTTTCCTTGCAAATTAAAAAATAATAATACAAAATGTTTTTGCCTTATAATTCTTTAAACTAATTTTATATGCATGACTTGGAAAATAGAAAGGGAATAAAAAAAAGAAACGAAACAAACTTTTCAGAATTTTCGCTTTGTTATTCAACTCTCTCAACACAGCTGAGAAGAGATTTACTGCAAAAGACTTAAAGAACTCAGCAAGTCGTGGCAGCAGCAGCAGAAGCATAAAAGGCAAAGTGGTCGGTTGCAACAGCATTCCAGGAGGGACGATAGTCCTTCTCAACTTTTTAAGATGTATTAACGGATATAGAGGAAAAGAAAAAAAATAAATAAAAAGCAAAGAATAAGGAAAGCAAAGAATAAGGAAATCGAAAAACCAACAACGGCGTAAACACAAACGCGAAAAGGACCAAAGCTGATTGTGGCTTTAAGTATATGTGTGTGTGTGTGCGCGTGTTTGTTTAAGAGGAACCACTTGAGAACAAGGAGCGTTATTCGTGGCAAATGGAAGGAGAAAATCTCGCGAATGGAATACAAAATAATATTTTAATGTATTAAATAACAATGTATGGGTATGGCTTTATGGCTGCATGGAGATTTTGTATTTTCGCTCAAGGATAAAATCTAGGATAAAAGTAGCAATGCAAAAATAAAAACACACATACTTACCAAAATGTTTAACAAAGGAACTTATAAAGCTTGTCATGGGATAAAAATTAAAACCATTTAAAAGCCAACGACTGTTGGAATTGTAATTCAATGGAGAATGGTATGTAAGTGTAACAGCATTTTGGCTAGTTGTCGAAGAAAGAGATTTTCTTATTCAATACGACGGGGCCTCGATACATAGTTTGTTGGATTTCTTAAGAACTTTTTGTGCATTAAAGAATGTCCCTATAATAATATGAAATTACAGGGCGAGATAAAAAAAAAACTGCAACAAAGTCAAACGATATGATTTTTACATTTTTTTTTTAAATTTTATTGAATGAAAGGAAATAATGTAGGGAATAGCATCCAATTTTAGAATAAGTTTAGATTTGTTCGAAATGGTCACCTTTGCCACGAATTATGACCTTCAAACGGCAAATGAAACCGTCACACGCTACCCGAACGTTGCTCTGCGTTGTTTTGGCCCATTCCCGGCGAAGCGCTTGCCTGAGGTGATCGACACTTTGGTATTTTTTAGTGCCAACCTTGCTTTACAAAATACTCCAGAC